CCCGGTAAAGCACCTTGTCTCCACCTCCCAGCAGCTCCCACTCCTTTCGGGTGAAGTACAGCACCACGTCCTCAAAGGCCTCTGGGAACTGCAGTCACATATAGTACACACTCAGTCCCTTCTGCTCCAGCCTCATCAGTCCATTTAGCCTTGAGCATTACTTTGCACTATAAAGATTTGCCAGCCTGCATATAAAGGGTAGGGTTGTGAAATGTCCCACTTTGCAGCTGGTACAGATGCTCCAGCAAAGCCCCTGGTGTGTGCATAGGGTATGTCTAAAACAGGTGGCATTGCTATTGTAACTAAACCAGTAGTAGTGACCCTGGAAATTATCCTTCTACACCAGACACCTCTGCAGAATGCCCCAGGGCCCACACAGGTCTAAGCCTTACTCTGCTCTGCAAAGATTTACCTGGCTAGTCTGGCCAGTTAAGGATGCACAACCCATCATGTGACACAGCTGCTTCAGCAAAGAGTCTGGTGTGATCATGACTCTGCTGACAGAGGAGTGTTTCTCCCCTTCAGTCCATGTTATCCAGGAGGTTCAGCACAGGCTGTGTGTACACCAGGGAGAGCTGCCAATATCACTCCAGCAGCAGACTCTGTAGTGAAGGCAGCCTGTGTCCCCACTCAGGGAAGCTGTTTGGCTGACAGGGACTCATAGGGCTGCCTGAACTGGTGATTCCAGCCATTTATTTCACCCAGACGCCTCCCCAGGGAACCCGAGGCCTTGCAGTGCAGTATCAGGGATCCCCCTTTGCTTCCAATATGGCTCTGGGGTGGGGAGATCTATAGGGTCCAGGAGCTTGAGGGACTCGCTTCATCTCCATGAAAGAGAGGGACCTCCCTGGTGACATTTTACCCGAGCTGGGGCAGTTGCAGCCATCCCTGCTGTGCTCTGCAAAGGAGAGCAAATGAAGGGCCAGGGAAGGAGCAGACAGGCAAGCGGGGGCTGTGGATCCTCAATGCTGTGGGGTAGGTTGGCGCAGGCTGGGCTCAGTGGAAAAAATCAACCTGGAAACAGGAGAGGAGAGTGCAGCATTTCCACTGGGCACAACAACCCCCAGGGTGTTGAGACGTCCTGGGCGCCAGCTACCCGGTGGCGCAGAGGGAGGGTCCCAACGGCATTAGGAGACTGGGGCTGTTACCCTGGGCAGAGCCTGGTGCGAGGGGCTGGGGCTGCGGCTCATGTCACTCACTGCCCTGTGACTCTTCCCCACAACGCAGCTCCCGTGCCACCGCCGTGCGGTGACAGACAGTGCAGCTCGACAGCCCCGCACGGCCCCGGGCTGCCTGGGCCAGAGGGCAGTGTATTTGTGTGTGCGCTTGTATTTTATGGGTACATGTATGTGTGCGCCCATGTATATTTGTCCATGTGTGTGTGTGCATGTAAATCAGAGAAGCATAAGAGAAACAAGACTGGAAGAGAGCTCCAGCGAGCACATCTGGTGCGACCCCCAGCCTCATGCCGGGTCAGCCCTTTCTGATTATCTTAAGTCGAAATGTTACAACTCAGAACCAATTTTCTCATAAGAAACAATGTTATAAATGGGGGATTGATTCCTGAACCAAGGTCCGATACCCTATTTTCACCAAAAATACCCCAGAATTTTGTATTCGATCAATTATAGATGAGTAATATAGCTACATGAATGTATCTATATTGTAAATAGCAATCATATTGATTTGGAAGGACTTCTTTGAGGTGCCTTGGCTGGACTTTTGGAAGGGTTCTTGACTGGAGTCTTCTCAGGAGTCCTGGCTGCAGGTTTTTCTGGAGTCTTGTCTGCTTTCTTAAAGAAAGTGTCCAAGCAAGTTTGGACAGATGTTCTCCAGGGAGATGGGTGACGCAGTGAACTTGTTCACTGGCGTGGCGTTGCATTGGGTCAAGCATTGTAAAGAGCCGTGGAAACTGATGTCATAAAGTTGAAACAGGGTATCAATTTATAAACGTTGTAAGCGTGAAATGTTGTAACTTGAAATGTTGTAAGTCAAAGACGGCCTGTGTATAGTTTATATGCATCAATTGCAGGTGTTTCAAACATCAGTATATTACAGATAATCAGTCCCAGATATTACACATGTACAACTGTGTGTGCACATGTGAAAATGTGTGTATGTGTGTACATGTATATATGCCTGTGCACATAAGTATGGGTGTTTTCATGTGTGTGCATGCTTGTGTTCACACACATGTGCAGAAGCATGTATGTGCACGTGTTCAGTTGGAAGTGCACAGGTGTGTGTGCATGCCTGCACATGTGCGTATGCACCCATGCATTTTGTCATGGGGAGGGCTGATATATTCCCCAAGCTGGGGGAGATGTAGGCAGGACAGATGGGCACTCTTCATGAGTCCTGACTGGAAAGATCCCCTCCCCTGTTTGTCTGTTCCGCAGGGCCCCATTCTGGGCCTTGCTCTGGTTGTTCTTTTCAGCCTGGACCTGGCGGGAAAGTTAGATCACTTCTGTACCTCGCTCTGGGACACCCGCTCTGCAATGGAGCCCAAGCCTCCCTCAGCCTTCTCCAGTCCTGTAAATGCCTCTGGGCCACAGGGAGCAGAGGGTAACTGGTCCCAACAGCCCAGCTGCAGCCTGGCATGTCAGAAGTCATGAGCCCCTGCTGACAGGCAGGGTGGAAATCAGTTGGCTGGCTGAGCAGCAGGGAAAAGGCCCTGATCCTGGCCCTGCCCTGCTGTGAAGAGTTGTGGCTGGGGGAGTCTGGGGGGCGGTGCTCGTGGGCGCTGCTTCTCAGCAACAGCTGCAGCAGCAGCAGGGTTGTTTCATGCTCAGAGCTCCCTGCAATAATAAAGGGAGTCTATTTGGATCACAAGTACTGGGATCTTTATTAGCAGAGCTGCGTGCACAGTGCTGCTGCCTGCAGCCACAAGCTACTGACAAATTCACTAAACACATGGAACTTCCTGGTGTCAATCTTCAAGTCATCCCCACATAACTTGTATTCCAGCCTGCGGGTTGTGCAGGGGGGAGCAGCGTTGTCCCTGGTGCCCTGGCTGGGTTGCATGCCAGGACCCTGAGAGAGGAAGGATGTGGGTTTCTCAGGCTCCGGCCCTAAGGGAGGCGTTGATGCCACAGGGGCCTGTGATACCAGCACCCATGTCACAGGGCCCACTCCCCAGTGCCTGTGGAGTCATTTCGCCTCACACCTGCCACATGTCCCCCCAGGGCGGGGCTGTCATTGCCCCTCACCCACCTGCTTAAGGGGAAGGAAACAGCCCCTGCCCCAGGGCTGGGCGGGACCATGCTCACTGGGGGAGGGGATTGGGAAATTGCCCCAACACCAAGGATTTTTAACCTCTCGAGAAAGAACACACCCGCTGCACCTCATGGCTGCAGGCAGCAGCACTGGGCACGCAGCTCTGCTAATAAAGATCTAAGTCCTTGTGATCCAAATAGACTCCCTTTATTATTGCAGGGAGCTCTGGCATGAAATCCACCCTGCTGCTGTAGCTGTTGCTGGGGACAGACCCCACGAGCAACCCCTGCCCTAGGCCAGGCTGGGTCGGGCCACAAATGGGGGCTCTGAACCTGCAGCTGCTTCTGCTACTTTATTCCCAATCTATGAGACAGGAGGGTGTGTCTATATGTTCATTAATGTGCTGTACCTCCTGTGCATTAAGTTTATTAGTTGTGTAACCAAGTGCTAAATGAGTATGCAGTAACCAGCATTACAGTGATGCTGCTGCATCATAGCCTAATGCTACCGTAGCCTATTAGCACGGTTTTTGATGTGGCGTGCTACTGCACAGTAGTATTAGGCTACTGTGCATTTAGCATCTTGTGTACAAAGACCCATTTGACCTGGACCCTGAGGCCTGTGGGGCATGCAGCTGCCTCACAGAAGGCTACTCTGTTTGTTAATCCAGGACTGGGCCCTCTCACCAGGGCTGGGACAGGATCAGGGCCTTCCCCCTGCTGCTCCACCAGCAGCTTCCTCACCGCTGCCCTCTGTGTGCGCTCAGGCGGGGCTGCCTCAGCCAGATGCCCTGGGCTCCCTGTGGAGGCAGCAGTATTTGCAAGCAGAACAGGTGATGCAGGGCAGGGCCAGTCCCCGCCTGTCCTGCACATGCCTCCCTTGCATGGCACTGTGGGGAACGTGTGCCCTCCCATGTATATGCACATGCCTGCACACAGCACACAGGCACATGCACACGTGCATGTAAACACACAACCACACACAGGAACTCACAACCAAGCCTGCATGCGCATGCACATGCTGACACCCATATGCACATATACATGCTACGATTTGCCACATCTCTACACAAGCAATGTGGGTGGTGCTCGGTAGGACTGCTGTGGGCGCTGGGCTGCGTGTGCCAGCATTGCCAGGTCCTAAATATGAAATTATCATATTGGAAGCTCAAAATGTTCTTATTTCCTGAAACAATATGCAAATAAGTCTTCTTATTTACTTTATATTGCTCACTATACCTAGCCAGTGAGTGAGTACTGGGTCATCAAAGTTGAAGCATTTCTTTATTTTGAGACAAGCAGTCCTAAGGAAGTCCTGACAGCGAACCCAAAACTCAGTTAAGACTCCCTGGGAGTGACGTGGGTTTTGCGCATGCTGCACCAATCAGCTGCCTTAAAAATTATGGCAGACAAGGTTCTTTGGGTAAATCTGGTATCTTGTATTAGACCAACTCAAATAGTTGGAAAAAGTCTTCTTTTTCCAACTATTTGAGTCGGTCTAGTAAAAAATATCAGATTTACCCAAAGAACCTTGTCCGCGCGTGTCCTTACACCAACACGGCTACGACCTCTACCCCTCAAAATGAAGGTGCATTTTGAACACTTTTACCATGATTGATTATACATCAGACAAGGGTTAAATGATCGAGCAAATACGATCCTTATTGTGCGCCGGCTACACTGGCTGCGGAACAACGCGTTAATGAGACCCCGGGTAGAGCCGCGGTCCTCCAGGGCCACCAGAGCGGCGGC